TTTTCACCCCAAAACAAGAAATTAGTAAAAAGAGGCCGTGAAACTCGCCTTTCGATATAGAGCTTTGAAGATAAAGCAATGCGACCCGATTACCGGGCTAAATCAACGGTTCCCTATTAATTGGAATAACCAAAAATCATTACTTATTGAATCAACTCTATCTATGGGGTTTACTAAATCCTAAGTCCATAATTGTCCAYTTTTGTTCCAAATTATTGTCCATAGTCCGAATATACATAATGTCCATATGCTCATTAAAGGGGGTTAATTCATACCGGAAATGTTGCTATAATCCTATAGAATATCAATTTTTACAATATTTATCCAAATCCAGAATTTCAGATTCTGGACAGAAACTTAGGTTACAAAAATGATCCAATAAAGAGACTTCAAAATGAGATAAGTTCTTATATTTTTATATGGTTTATAGAACTGAGTTATAGCCATCGTGACCAAAGTTCATGAAGATTGGGTAAGATATGATGCTTCAAATAAATCATGCAATGCAACTTATCACAACTGAAATGACAGATTGCACCATGTTAGTAAAATACTCATAAAAAGAGTTCTACTAGGTGTTCTGAAAAGATTCAAGTTGTATTGGAAACCTAACACTTATACGAAACGTTTAAGCTAAGAATCACTCATTTTGGATGAGTTGAGAGGAADATATGACACCTTAAAGTCACATGCACACATCTGCCATCAATTGACAGATTGCACACCTAACTTATAAAAATCGGTTCATGCCTCAAAACATCGTATTTTTAAGTGAGACTGGATTCAAATGAACCCTAACTCATAAAATAAAGTTTTAAAAGAATAATCATACATTAAGGACAAATAAGTAGAAAGATATTAATATACAAAGTAAAGGTTACCTACTGGTGGTTTAACATTTTACACTCCTATAGAGTTTAAGGTGCTTGGAGATCACAACTCCATAATTTTATATGATTCCACTTGCATATAACAGACAATCCATAAAGATAACTCTAAAAAGAAGATTCATCATTTTTCATTGAGTTATGAGAGAGATATGGTCGATGTAACACACATATATGAATCTGTCAAAATCGGACAGATTGCATGTTCATCTTAATTTAGGAAAATGAAACTTCAAATCACCACCATTTTGAGTGAAATCGGTGGCATTTGAAATCTATCTCAATAAACTAACATCTAGAAGAAAAATAAACAATTTTGGATGGTTAACCAGAAAGTTATGACCATTAAAAGTAGGATTTATCTACTGGAAAATCTCATATGCGTAGATATAATGTTTTGAGCATTTGGGGGGTCAAAACTCAATGATTTTGAGTGAGACCAAATGAAATGCAACCCCAACTCAGTAAATAAACTTTTAAAGGAAACCTCATAACGTTTGAACAAGCCATTTAAAAAATATGGACGATTTTGTGCACATACACAGAATCTGTCAGCACCAAAAATTAAGTTTTCATGAAATAAACCACATAAAATCATGATTTCTTCCTATATCTTTGAGTTACATCATTTGGGTCATGGATTACCACCATCAAATAAACAGTTTTACATGTTTTTGGTGTATAATCTCACCTTGAAACTCAAGATTTTCGAAACCCATGAAATAGATGATGAAGAATGCAAGAAAATGGATTTTTCTCCCAAAACATACAAGAAAATGAAAAAGGAATGAAGGTATTACCTTGTGTTGTATGAGATTATGATTGAAGCTTAAAAAATTTGCCTTGATGATGAAAATTGGAGTGAAAATCGGCTAAAATGGAGAGGGTGGAGTAAAGGATCTTCAATGTGACTCTTGGGTTTTCTAGGGAGAGAGAGATGAGAGAGTTTTGAATTTTTGAATGAAGAAATGAAAATAATGAAGAAACAAATGTATTTATATGTGGCCAAGGGAGGGAAATGGAGGAAAAAGGCCAGCCATAAGAGCCCAAGCCCACCCTCACACATAATTTTTTTTTTATAAAAAGGAAAGCCCAAAATGCACAAAAGCCCAATTTTTCTATTTTGACATTTTTCTTCACTTTAAAAGCCCACGATGACTAAATTTATTTAAATAGAAAGGTTTTATATTTAAAACACTAAAACTTAGTGTTTTATATAAATTGGGTATAAATTAGAGCATTTGGTACTGTATAAGACATTTCGGATAACTTCGGACCGGAACCGGACTTTCTAAGCAACTACCRGAAWTTCTTAAAATTTCTCAACTAAACTAATCTAAATAACTCCTAATCTTATAAATTATCTTCAGTAACACTAATATAAACTTAATAAGAGCTAACATGGAAGTTCGAATTTGACGGCTGTCACATTACAGTTGGAACAGAAAGATGAAAGCTCAATATGTCCAGAACTTGACCCTCCATGTCCAGTACCTGATAAGTAAAAGGTAGTCGTTAGCCTTTAGACTTGTACAAATTGGTTTTCAGAATGCAGAATGTGACAGGAAAGTGTAACAAGATGAAATGCAAGCGAGATGGGATCATTTGTTACAATAAATATTTGAATTTTGAGTTGAGGAAGGGACTAATGGAAGCAAAAGAGTCTGTATATCTATAGTTTGAGAAAACTAAGTAAGGCCGTTAAACACCAGAAACTTATTATTCAAGACCATTTACATAAACCTTATTATGGAGAATAATACCTTGTTGCAGCTAGGAACAAGTTCTTGAAGCAATTTCATTCTCTTGTTGATCCTTTCTGTCCTAACCTAAATGGAATGGATGAAATCAAATCCCTATGAATTTGATCATTCTAAAAAGTTTGTAATGGAAATAGACAATACTTGTTTATAACCTTTCTGCGAGGCTATCACTGTTTGTAGTCTGACCTCTTTTGGCTCTCACATGAATGTAGTTGTTGTCTTTAGTAGGACCTCCTCCTCCACTATCAATAGAATTCTCTTTTGCTTGTTTTTCCATTTGCTTCCCCCCTCCAATTGGCATCAATTCTCTGTTTTTTTTCATCATTTCTTTCTTTTCTTTTACCATTCTACAACCAATCAAGAACCAACAGACTTGTCAAAACACATTCAAAATTTTTAAAATTTCTGCAGTGAAGTAAAGGGATACATACAGTAATGGGGTTGAATTGAGGATGAGGGCATTTTCTTTTGTCTCTACTAATAGGTGATGAAGAACCCCACATTCAAGATTAAGGTTACCAAAGGGATTCACCATTTCTGAGAAACTGCCATTTTCAAAAGACCCAACTTTTGGGACTAAATCAGCAATGCCTGAACCATATTGATATTGATGAATAAAACCCACTTGAACTTGATGATTCTCTGGGTAATCTAGCTCACTATTATGAGGAACAGCTACCATTGACGATGACCCACCTAAATTCTCAAGTGAAAGGATATTACTCCAAAAAAAAACTGAAACAAGCAAAGAAAATTTACCTTAGATCAGTAATAGAAATCATTATAGCAAGAGTTAGCTCTTATAGAAACAACGCCTAAACAGATCAATTATGAGAAATTACTGATACAAATTCTAATTCTTTCTCTCATACAAATGGTGAAAACGAAGGATAACGGAAGCCAAAAAGTAGTGACAGGTAGCATGTCAAAATTACTGATACAAATTCTAATTCTTTCTGTAGAGTCTAAACACGCACGGAAAAAGCACGCACAAACTTGTACACATAATAAAAGCTCCAACATTAATTTTGCAGGTGGTGTCAACATTCTTACTCTTGAGACCTCTATGGTGAAAGAACCATGTATCCTGTTCACAGAGCCTAATACACACCATACATATGAATGATTACTTGATTAGCATTTCAAACGCTTGTACTTTGTCACTTAGCTTCTAAACAACCAACATACTTGCCAATGCTAGAAAAATATATACATATGAAAAAAGACACATTTACCTTCGCAACTAAATAAGGTGGTGTTTCTTAAAACTGAATGAATAAATACCAAGTGATTAAGAGCTCTAAATGGTCAACATACTGGTATTCATACGGATAAATCACATAAACTGAATTATTAAGATGCATTTATATGGACTTAATGAAAAGAAATGAAGTGACTGAACCATTCCATAATTGCAAACAATCGAGCGAGTTTTTGCCGTTTTACAAACGAGTTGTAGTGTTATTTTCTAGAAACTAAAGTAATTTTCAGTAGATTTGCTAATACATCGCTTAAAAAACAAATAACTAAATACAAATATACAAATGTTTAACCTAACTTGAAACAAAAAGGGGGATTTGTTAGGCACACAACCACAACTAGAAATCATACTGCTTGATTCTATCTGCGACAAAATAACAACAAACATTTTAGAACTCGAAGACACTAAAACAAATCAAACCCAAATGCGAGTTGACAAAAAGATGCTGACATGATTCTATAAAACCATTTTCCAAATTTGAAAGCAAACATGTCCAATTGATCCATCACCTAATATAATCCAAGCCAACATTGCCCAAAACATTCAACTACTTAAAGATATGTTGCAAGAGTTCCTGCCCAATAGATATCAAGCATATCAATAACTATTTTCTTCAAGTATACAATATTTATATATGACAAATGAACTCACGCACTCTCCTCATCTTTAATGAGGTTTGAACACTTGACCTCCTCAGATGTTGGGCTCTACTGATAACCCAGATACCGCTAGGCCAAAGTCCCTTTTGTATGAATGACTATTTGATGGAGGTCATATAGACATCTCTAGACTATGTCTACCATGTAGTTTTATCATGCAAGCCCCTGTATCAGGTGCATCAAGAATAACTTCTCAATGGCATTAATCATGTCCCCAAATTGTTAATCATGAATTCAAGGGGATGCATTATTGGGAACCAAGGGGCATTTTTCATCATTTTAGAACCATAAATTAGAAACTAAGGCCAAGAGTGTAAGGTATAAGGTTTTATGTCTATGAGATTGAAAGGGGACAACACAATGCATAGTTTGAAATAATCTACATACTTGTAGAATTTATCGTATCTTCCTTTTTATGCAATTCATCTTTACTTAATAAAGTTCAGGGTGGCACCAATTATTCAATGTCACTGGCTACAACAAACACCAACAATCAATTGAGAATGAGAACATCAAAACTCAATAGAAATGATTCAAGTGTTAAGAGAAGGTTTATAAATCCGCTTCAAATAGAAATATTAAAGAACATAAACATCCCATATGTGTGCATCAATATTCAAAAATCAAAAAACAATTCGGACCATAACATATGAATTCAACCAAAATCAATTAAAAATAAAACCTAATACCCTAATACGCTCTGACAATAGTAATCCAATAAAAAATAAACTCATAATCGATTCTAAACAAAACTGAAGAGCAAAATTGAAATGGAATTCAAAATCACCTCTAAAAATGGAAATCTTAATCAAAATTGAAATCAAAATGGGGTATTGAAGAGCATACCTCCAAATTAAAATTGAAATGGAAATCTCTAGGGTTTTGAAGAACCTGTGAAATTAAAACATCAGGAAGGAGGGAGTTATATGTATCGATGATATTGTGATACATCAAACCGGTTTGATACATGAAATTGTTTTTCAAGATTGTGAGAGAAGAAAGGAAATCGAACATCTGTTCGAAGTGATGAATCAAAACCACAAAATTAACCTGTTCAAGGTGAGTCAAGGAAGAAAGCATATCTATTATACCCAAATTTGTTTGAGCGCATATCAGATACTGAAATAAGAATGTGCAAAAAGACTGTAAGGAGAAAGGACGTTTGAAAGCTTCCGATTAGGTTTTTGAAGTTGTGGGTTAAAAACCCTTGCATAAATAACTTGTATCACATGCTTGATGAGTTGTAATTAAGAGTTTTTTGAATTTCTTGCATAAAATGGTTGTAATCTACGTTTTAAGAGTTGTAATTAAGATATTGACCTAAATGGCTGTTAATGTAGTATATATATATATATATATATATATATATATCTATATATATATATATTTGTAAATAATATTGAGTTGATACCACATCACTCGCCACATTAGTATGGTAACCGTTTAATGATTCAACTGGTTACCCATGTACTAAAATGTTTAAAAATTTACATCTTAGATACCAAAATGGAAGTTCTGGAAGTACGTTAACCAAAATAAGAATCAAGTTAAAATACGTTATTTTTTCATGCAATTTTCCCTTTAATTAATAAAAAGTGTAACGATTACACATTTATAAAATTGTGGATATGTATTTTGGGACTTAAACATGCATTAATACAAATTTCAAAGTATAAATCAATAAATAAATGTTTTTAAATATTAATCAATAATGTTATTTACCAACATTAATATTCTAATTATTAAATTGATGATACAAATATATATATATATATATATATTACATGGGGAGAGAGGTTCATATTTTGTAAATTCGAAGTCAATGTAAATTAATATATATTTATCAATTAATATTATTTATCGTTACTAAATTTTAAATTATTGACAGAGAAAGAAAAAGATTGATATAATTCAAATTAAAAAAGTAAAAATAAATTGATTTATATATATGAATGATTGTAATAGCTTTTATAGATTTATATATTAAAAGTTTATATATATATACATGTGTGTGTGTGTTTTAGGGGGGATGATAATCAAATGAGATCCATAAAAATGTTATAAATTTGTAAGAATTGATATGAAAAATAATTTTTTGCATTATGTTTATCATCAAAAACTATGATTTAAGATATTATTTTACATATTTTTGTTCATTTTATGAAAAAAATTACATTTGAGTTCCTTATAT